ATACGACCCAAACTTATGTGTTTTTTAATGGGATACCCTGTGTATATTTTTTTTTTCCATTTTATTCGCCTTGCTTTGATCTTTCTAAAAATATATTATACTCTATACTTATTTTCATAAACAGGGTGAACATACATTATTTAACTTTTTAATATAGGCGGCCGGTTTAAATTAAGTAATCAAATTTTGATTATTGGTTATTCCACGCTAGTGTGCAGAATGCAGTGTGTGCAGAATTAGTGCACAAATGCATTCAACATATCAGTAACTCAGATCGATAGTGCTTAATGATTTTCTCACGGGTCATATAGGTTCGTCATCACTGATATACAGGGTGCTACAAATTCGAGGTACGAACATTGGTATCTCGGAAACCGTCGTAATAGATACGAAGATCGTTAAATTGGGGCAAAGTTGCTCCTTGTGATGTTCACCAAAATGCCATCAAAAAGTTTTAAAAATTTCAAGGATTGCTGAGTTTTTTGGAAAAAACGGATTTTTTTAATCAATTTTATTTTTTCCTGTCGTTATTTTTTAGAAAAATAAAAAAATAATTGCGCATTCTCATAACCACTTTATTAGAGCTATATGATAGTATTTTTAGATTTTCAAATTAGCTGATAATTTGTGAGATACAGAGGCCAACTTAATTTTTTTAAATACGGACCTGCATTTTTTATTTTAAGTTTTGAAAGAACTCGGTCTCCTGAGTAAAATGACATGCCACACTTGATACTTTTCTTTTCTTTTGAGTACCTTAACAATAACAAAACTATATAATTATTATTTAAAATAATTTCAAATCCGACTCTATTTTTTTTTAAATTATTTCATCTGATTATATTCATCCAATAATATTGATCAGCGCTAATTAAAATTGAATAAGAAAAATCGAGAAAAATTGAAAGATTCAAATAAATAATATCCAGGTCAGCAATTTAAAGATATATTATATACAGGGTGTTCAAAACAAATGCGAAAAATTTCAGGGGGTGATTCCTTGTTCAAAATAAAGGGTAGTTTGCTTTATAAACGTTGGGTCAAAAGTCAACCATTAGGGAGATATCGCGGTACAAAGATGGCGGAAAAATAATGTTTCTATTTTTTATCTTGAAAACGAAAAATGATAGACTAATGAAATTTTATGGAAGCATTACTGTTATGAAAACATACTTTCTGGTAATTTTCTCACTTTTTTAAAATGAGTGGAAGGGGTTGAAATAGACTACCCCTATCATTCTTGTTAACGAAATTTAAAAAAAATCTTATCAAACACATGCAAAAAAATTAATTTGGATAGCTTGGTTTGTTTAGATACTTTTTTATCTCTTGTGTTTCTTTGATAAAACTCGCCGATTTGAAATTAAAAAATAAAATGTAAAGCATTACATGTCAGGATAAAAACATTTTTAGATAAAGAATCTAGTGATAATAACGCTAATAATAAGAATCTAGATAATAACGTGTTGCAGTAGAGTAATGTCAATAAAATAATATTAGAAACATCCTAAAAACTGACAGCGGCCCACTAGATTTTTTCCTAAAAAAATTAGAGCAGCCCACTAGATTCTTTATCTAAAAATGTCTTTTGTCCTGACATGTAATGCTTTACATTTTATTTTTTAATTTCAAATCGGTGAGTTTTATCAAAAAAACACAAGAGATAAAAAAGTTTCTAAACAAACCAAGCTATCCAAATTAATTTTTTTGCATGTGTTTGATAAGATTTTTCTTTAAATTTCGATAACAAGAATGATAGGGGTAGTTTATTTCAACCCCTTCCACTCATTTTAAAAAAGTGAAAAAATTACCAGAAAGTGTGTTTTCATAACAGCAATACTTCCATAAAATTTCATTAGTCTATCTCTTTTCGTTTTCAAGATAAAAAATAAAAACATTATTTTTCCGCCATCTTTGTACAGCGATATCTCCCTAATGGTTGACTTTTGACCCAACGTTTATGAAGCAAACTACCCTTTATTTTGAACAAGGAATCGTTCCCTGAAGTTTTTCCAATTTATTTTGAAAGACCCTGTATATTTAACTTTTCTTATTATGAATTTGAAATCTCAGTGTACGATCTAATAATATGCATAATATTAATCGTAGTTATTCAAGGATATTTAAACTCATAGTTATTATAGATAAATCAACTTCTACAATCTATAGTTTCTAAATGCTCTACATGTTCGAAAGGAAAACCCTCCCTATAATGCACACATTTATTTTTCGTTCAGTCGTTTTATACCTCTTTGAACATATCTTCTTCTTAGGGACGACAGGAACCTAGCTGGCCATTATACTGTTCTACCATTTCCAATCCATCTTATCCGGGGAAATGATTTGATTGTTTATATTATACTAGTTGAAGCCTGGCGCATCCGCCACGATATCATAAAAAGATAGTTTTTTTTAATTAAATGAAGAACAAAAAATCCGGCGACGACAGTTTTTAGAAGAGCCAATTAGCTATCTTTTAGTAAAAAAAACTTTCTAAAGCAAATCGTTACTTCAGTAGAGACGACACAGATAAACATTAGCATTTTATATGTAGATTATATTTATATTATTAATTATATCATTTTTTATTATTTTACTGCATTTTATGTTCCATATTTAATGTTTTACCCCACGTCATTATTAAGTTTGAAAGCTTATCAGATTGTAACGATGAATAGATTAAGTATTTAAAAAAAAACAGAGCCGGATTTGAAATTACTTTAAATAAATTGTGTTCAAATGTCCGAAACAAAAAAAAATATATTAAGTGTGGCATATCGTTTTACACAGGAGACCGAGTTCTTTCAAAATCTCAAATAAAAAATGCAGATCCGTATTTAAAAAAATTAAGTTGGCCTCTCTGTATCTCACAAATTATCAGCTAATTTTAAAATCTAAAAATACTATCAGTTATCTCTAATAAAGTGGCTATGAGAATGTGCAGTTTTTATTTTTGAAAAAGTAACGACAGGAAAAAATAAAATTGATTTTCAAAAAATTCGTTTTTTGCAAAAAACTCAGCAATCCTTGAAATTTTTAAAACTTTTTTGATGGCATCTTGGTGAACATCCCAAGGAGGCAACTTTGTCCCAATTTAATCATCTTCGTATCTATTACGGTTTCCGAGATAGCAATGCTAGCGTACCTCGAATTATTTGTAGCACCCTGTAGAGCTTTTTTGGGACAATGAATTAAAATGTTCTATTCGCAAAGAATAATAATGATAATTTAGCAATAGAGGTAGAGGCACATTTATATTGAACGTAATCAACAAAAAAAATCGATAAAATATGATATTATTACCTTTTGCCGTTTCCGTGAGGCACTCCTTTTACTACATAATTAATCTTACCTAAAAAAGATACAAAAGATACAATTAAAATAATATTCAGTCTTTTGGTGAAAAACATGATAATTTTACAACTCTAATATAATTAATTACATATATTTACTGCTGTTACCCATACAATATACAAAAAATATTGTATAATTACCTTATATTATCAAAAAGAAAAGTTCCATCCTGTATCCTGTATCGTCGATGCCATTTTGTCCTGTTAGAACGAGAAAAATAACTCTCCTACAAGACAAAACGTAAAACAAATTAACATGGACATTGCATAAAATACTGAGTTTTTAGAGTCATCGATAATTTTTAGCAGCGATCGAAAAAATTCGATCAGTTTCGCTCAAATGGGATTGCATAAGCGGCATTCCGTCTCGCACCGCTCGAAATTTTCGATCGATGCTGTCCGCTGCGCGCAGAAATTCAATCGCGTTGCCATGAAAGTGACCTGAACAAGAAAATACTCAAAATAACGGAAATAAATAAATATTTTGATAAAATTACCCCTTTAACAGACATAATAGACTCCTAGGAAGATCATTTTATAAAAAAAACACTACACTCGGAAGTTTTTTCACAAAAATATTGAGAAAAAAAAACGAAATATTTTTTTGACAGGACTCTTGCTTGGTTGATTGTACACAACTGACAAAATTGTTGTTATTTTGTAGTGTGCTGCGATAGATTCACAACAAATTATTTATTGTAGTTATGAAATTAGAACAGACACGCGTTATTGATGATTTTTAGTTAATAATAACGGAGATTTTTTATTAAAATATAAAGGAAAATATATTGTTATCGTAGATAAATATTTTTAGAATAGTTTTTTTAATATCAAAAAAAATATGGTAAAAATCATGGAAATAATGTAAAATACGGTTCTTCAGTATCAATGAGTTATTTTTTTTTACTGGAAACATACATTTTCCGAATTTTGTGTGTGTGGATGTTTTTAGTTTAGAACTTATTTGCTAAATGGATAGCACCCAAAAATTATAAACTATTTTTAAAAAATACTAACAGTGACTTAAAATGACACCCAAATTATACCTACATATCTGATTCATTATATATAATTAGGATGGTTAATTTATTTTATACCTATTTCAATGATTTCCAAGTAATGTACGTGTTTTTTTTTTGTTAGATTGAGACAGTTAAAATTTGATAATTCCTTAATTATTTTATCAAATTTTGCGATTGTCTTTTTTTAGATTTCTGATTTGAGACGTTGCCTTTGTCGAATACTGATAAGCGAGACCCATAGCGAGACCAGTCTTGGTATTGCTTTTTCTGCAAAACCAAGACCAAGACCAGCCAAGACCTTAGCCAAGGCCAAGACTAGCGTTAGCGTTAGGTAGATGGCAAAAAGACTCCCTTTAGTCCCTTGGTCTTGGTCTTGCAGTTAATAAAGTCTTCCACAAATACAAATAAATTATCTTTACAAATAAACACCAGTATGAAAATATTTTTTAGTCGACTCATACATAAGTTTTGCCGTATGTGTCGTTTTATTTGTAAATAGCACAGCATTTGTCGATTTCATTTGCTTTAAATTACTTGAAAAACTATTTTTAAAGATTTTCTAGCTCGGTACAAAAGAACTACTTTCACCTATCGATATTTCTGACCATCCCTAGTTCAGGAAAACCTAGACATTTGACATACTCCATATGACCAAGACAACCTAACCTTAAATAAATTATCAACAGTAGAAATATTGTTAATTTAAATTTATATTAATAAAAAATGCGTTTGCCTGCAGCTAATAAAGCCTCTATGTTATTAGGTATCTGCGTACCTAGTCTTAAACAAGGAGCATCAAAGTTTAAAATCAAGAGACTTGAACTGGACAGTAACTTGCATATGGTAACTTTTTCCTTTTTATTAAAATTGTGAAAACATACTTTTATTTTTATTTTAGTACTTTACAAAATTCGAGTTTGTGTATGCCCACGATCCCCAAAAACAATGCAAAACTGGAGACATTGTTTTGATTGAACAGTTACCTCAAAAATTAACCATGCTCATTACACATGGCGTCAAAGAGATAATCTATCCCTTAGGAGATGTCACTTGCCCATTAACAAATAAAAAAGTAGTGGCGAGTAAATACAGAGACCATATCGATGCAATTAACAAAGTTTATGGAGAAAGACCAGGGGCATTTAATTATAAAAATGCACCACAGCGAGGTTGGCAAGAGGATAAAAAGGACTTCTCACATGTAGACACATATATTAAGTACCATGACGATGGCACGGAACAACCTTACGCAGTTTAATTGTTTCTATTTTTTTCTTTGTATATAGTTGGGTTATAAGAAAAGTACAGTTGTAGTGTTTACTTGAAGTTTTATTATTCACACATTTTCAAATTAAAAAGATTATAACAAAAAAGTGAATTATAGAAAATATCACAAACAAAAATTACTTGATATTCTACATTATTTGCTTTTATACCCAATATAACTGAAAAAAAAAATATTTGATGACTTATTAACAAAAAGTATTACTATTAATTCTGCCTGTATTTACTGCACCTTAAAATTAATTACTATACAAGCAAACAAGTATTTACATAATTTACAATATGCATATACCTAAGTAAATCCTGAGATATTTAACATCTACATATGCATAAATAGATTTGCAGTTTGGTCAAAACAATAAAAAAATTATGTACAAAAGCAAACCAAATAAAAACAATTCAATACAAACCTCAGGGTACTAATACATTAATATAATTCAAATTCATCTATGTAGTCTATCCCACGAAATGATAACTGACAGTGACAGGTATTGCTTGTCATTTTATTTCACAAGTTAAATTTTTCAGATATACTAGGTGCAATCTTTCTGGATTCGTTGGACAGACTTTAGACATTTTACTTACTAAACTATACAGGCCAGTATAGGCATTATAAATCCGTGGTTTTTATTTAAATGCGTAAAAATAAAGCTTATACAGGGTGTGCCAAAAAGTTCGCATCAAATTAGAGATTTCTTAATAGACTTATTGAAAAAAAGGTTACACAGAATTTCTTCTGCATATCCAATAATAAAAAATATCATTTTGATCTGTCATGCAACTGTCATTGTTTAGAATTGATAGTACCAGAGATAGTACGCTTTTGAACCGAGTTCTATAAATACAGATGCTTTAAGAAAATATGAGATTTTCGGTTATTTTTTGGAAAAAATATGGTAGGTATTTTTTGGATGATTGGCATAAGGCAAAGCGAATCTAATAAAAAAATCTTTAGTAGTAATTTTTAGGTTAGTTTACTGTCCAGCAATAAATTGTAAAAAAAATAAAAATCAGACTAACGACTACATAATGGCCTATAGAAAACAAAAATTTTGAACTAACACTTTCAGATTAACTTTATAGACGTTCCAGATAATTTAATAGTCTATTCTAGACGAAAAAACAATGATTTGTTGACAAGTTGCAAAACCCGCCTTATCCATTTTTTTATAAATGGCCTAATAACATATATTAATAGTGGGACCCTGAAATCTACATAAACATACTTCCAAACTGCTGTAAAAGTCGCCTATTCTATATAAAATTCACTACAAATTACGTTACTGCAGCAAAATCCGTCGTATCCATTTATATTTGCTTTTTATTGTCATTGTAACAAATCCCGCATTTTTTCATAAGCTTTTTACATAATTATAATATTACTGCTGACGTCTTTTCAAATCCTTACTAAATTTTAATAAAATAGTATCATTAATAAATCAAGTTAGGATGCAAATTCCATATTTACATATAAAATGACAGCGATCTTCATTTCATAGTCATCGTTGAACGCCTTGGCGCCTTGACCTCGTGACACCTAAATAAGCCACGTTAAAATCGAGACCACGGATTTACAATGACAAGCCTGTATAAAGCCTCGTTCTCAGAGCTTCGTACTATCGCCAGCGATACGTCAAGGAACCAAGAAGATTTGAACAAAATACAAACAGCTGTCAATTTTGAATTTAGTACAGCCCTCATTGGTTCTTTGAAGTGTCAACCAGTGTAGACAGGTCAAAAGAACCAATGAGATTTGTACAAAATTCAAACAGCTGTCAATTTTAAATTTAGTACCGCTCTCATATTGGTCGTTTGAAGTGCCAACCAGTGTCGCCAGCGATAGAACGTAGTTCTGAGAACGGGGCCTAAAGCAAAAAATCCTAATTGACAAATTCTTATATTTAATTCTTAAATTTCAATGGAATAATCTTAATTAAGCTATAGACATGACAATTAAAAACTTATTTATAAACTCTTTCAACAGATATATTGCTCTGGTCATCGAAACTGCTTGGTCTGGATTTTAACGTGTAAGACAGTGATCTAGACAGCTTAATGGAAAATCAAATGTATTAAAAAGAGATGAAAGTTAGGTTGATACATTTCTTCTATGCGGTATTGTCGGGTTTTGCATCAAAACCTCAAGTAAGCGTTTATGAAAAATGTTGCATCTGGTTTGGAACTTTTTTACAATTAGTTACTCATTTTACTACAGCTGAAATAGATTATATTTAGCTTAGATATATTATCTTCATTTCAGTAGTATACATGAAAGTTTTTAAAATAGTTTATTTTTTTCTACACACATTTTGCTACAAACGCAAAAAACTGGCAACACTATGCCGCTTTTTATTGTGTCTCTCTGTCTGTCAACCGGTCATTTATATTTATCTCTGTCGCATGCATTAAAATACACACCACGCAGATGAAGTGACCAGACCTATATACCTTATACTCAAAGAAAACACGTCGTTACAGTAGCCTTCGAAATTATAATCAATGATAATTTATGCCGGTAATTTTTTTAAAAAATTTACATAAAATTTCATGCAAAAATCTGTTTTCAAAAAATATTTTTTATTTTACAAAGATTTGCGAACATTGAGAATGAAAACTTTTCTTATTTTCATTTAAAAATTAATTTTTGACAAATTTGGATGTTAGTTTTTAAAAAAATACATATAGGACGTAGCCTGACTGGAATTGTCATCCATCGTCCTTACAAAGGCTACTGTAACGCCGTTTTTTTTGGATTGTATGATACAGGTGTCTTTTTAAAGATCAAATTGTTTATACCTACGTCTGCTATATTTCTAAAACTGTTTTTGTAATAACACCCTTATAGTATTATTTTACTTGTTGGAATATACAAAAGTTTTTTTTAAAATTGCATGGAATATTTCAACTACAATTAAAATAATCAAATACTCAAATTATTCATTTATTTATCCTAAAAACTTCCAAATAAGTCGTAGAAATGCGTAGGCAAATGATTTTAAATAAGCACAATAAAAACCGATTTGAAGTACATATTTTTGTTGCTTAAAAATACCTTTGTAAATTAATAACAAATAAAAAGTTTCTTTAAAAATAAAAAGACAAATTATTGAATAAAAACAAAATTGATCCTAAAATAGTTTTAAAAATGCTATGGTACATGAAGCTTAAAATCTGCTAAAAATTATTTAAACAAAAACATCTATACCCCATAATCTTTAAAAGTTATATGGAACTCACTTAGCATCATGCCCAATAAAATATTATCCCTTAAATGTATATATTTATATAAAAAGTAAGGTTAGATAATAAAAATATTGAAAAGAATAAAAAAGAAAAATCATCAATAATTCTGTAAAAGTATTGGTCCAAGTAAGTAACTAGGACCGGTGTGGTACTCTTAAGTTTTTTGTCCAGACGATGCCAAAGACAGCCCAATATAGGCAGTCCCAAAATTAAGAGCCTCAAACCAGTCCAGTTGACTCTTGAAAATACTTTATATTATATATTACATACCATACAATATAATACATTATAAAATATCTAATCCAAAGTGAACTAAAAACTACATTTATCTTATAAAATACAAGATGTCCCATTTAATGGTTAGTTCTTACTACAAGTAGAAATCCCAACATTACTGAAAAGCTCTTAAAAAAACTAATCTTGAGCATTCCCAAATTAATTTTGTTTTAGAATGAGCCCTAAGAACATAAAATCTCTCATATTTCTTATGACCCGCTTGTTTTTTAGAACGCTAGCATTCCTTAAACGTTGATTTATATTCTTGACATTAGGACTAATGTTAGTAGAATTATGAACCAGCCAGAAGAGAAAAACGCAACTAGTTTTAATTCACCCTGTGTAAACCATGCAATATTGTGGACTTCAGTATAAAAAGTTTTGAAAAGTATATTATTAGAAAAATATTTTTAATGAAAAAAAAAACAGATTTTAGTTTCAGGTAGTTAGTTATTTAAAATGGTTAAAAATGGTCATAATTCAAAACCACTCTGTATAGATTATGACATTATCATGTTTAAGTACTGATAATTTAATACCAAAAATTTAAGAGTAAAAATGTATATAAAGTAGTGATGAAACGGATAGTTGTTTGGCCGGATACCGAATACCGGATATTCGGTGAGCTGAGAGGCCGGATGGCCGAATATCCGGCCATCGCGATTGTTTCAGTGAGATTGCTGATGAAAATATTAGACAATGTCTCGATCAAGAGAAAAACCCAATTGCAAGCGTGATCGACTACTACTTGAAAACAGTTCGAACTGATCACAGCCGGGATCCTTACAGTACCTTGCAGCAGTGTTTTTAGTAAGAGGTTGTTTTCCGAAGCTGGTTTGGTTTACGACAACAAGCGAAATCCCCTATTACCGACAAACGCTAAAAATTTAATTTTTATTTGCCATAATTTGCCACTTATTAATTTTGACTATTAATTTTCTAAAATTGGTAAAAGAAAAAGAACAAGATAGTAAATTTTAAAAATCTGTGTATTTTTTTTTTCATTTATTATTAGTTACCTATTTATGTATGTATATGAAGTTTTCATTTTTGTATTTTTCATTAAAGTGAATAATGAATATTTTCAGATTTTTTGAAGTTTTTGTTATTTTCAGCTTTAAATAAAAGCAATTTAAACTGTAAGTACATTATTTTTTGTTATTTATGTTACTTTTTGAATACCCGGTATCCGGCCGGATAGTGAGTTACTCTTTGGTATCCGGCCGGATAATAAATTTAGGCCGGATACCGGAGAGTTGCCGGATATCCGTTTCATCTCTAATATAAAGCATAAAGTTTATATGAAAATATTTTTAAATCTCTGAATCCTCTCAATATTTTGCAAAAATGTTGAAGTGAAAAGGTCAAACAGAAAACCTGAAGTGTTTTTTTTGGAAAAGTAGTTCACCCTGTATATGTCATTGCCATTAAGATTAGAATACTAAAAATAAACATTTTCAGTGTTTAAAATGTATTAGGCGACTGTCAACAAAAAAGAAGATTTAGAAACTGTTTTTATTAGATTACCTGATAACTTTTTGTTGTATATTATCATCTAACCTCACTTTTTTTAATGAACCTTTTTATTTGCCCTCATGACACTTGTTAAGTGTCATTTTTTTGCTAATACAGATGCTGAATTGATTACAAATAACTTATTTCCTTTGCCAAAAATTAAATAAAATATACATGTTATGATTTATTGTAAGCTTCTAGCAGGTCACTGAATAATTTCTTTAGATATTGGAACTGGCTAATAACAGAAGAAATATGAAGTATAGAGAGTGTCAGGTAAAAAAGTCTACATCAAATGGGATTTTTTTGAATTACGAGAGTTTGGTAAAATTAAATAAAGCAGTTAGTTTTTCCTTGTCTAAAATCTAAAAATTAAGTTCATTGGTTTACATGCCAAATTCTGCATTTGTTAATAAAAAGTAATTATTAAAATTTTGTTTTAATTATTTTAAGTTTCACATTTTTATCTATCTTCAAAGTTTTGTCACTCAATGTCTACTTTCTGTCAATTTTTCTAATATTTTGACCAGTGCCTATATTTAAGTTTTACATATGATGCAAAAATATTTAATACTTAATAAGACACATTCATTTTCGCACATACCTTGACTACAACAATTTACTCTGTTAAAAAATACAATATTCTTAAGGCGGACTCTGGCGACTCGTGTTGGGTACTAACATTAATTTATTATTGGCATACAGATTGTTAACTAGACAGTTACTTATAGGGGAACAGAATGGCAACACTGCCTATTGAGAAGCCATGTACTTATAGGTGGGTTTTCTGCTGATTCGTCCCGTCGCGTCGTGACGGGGTTGCCATATTTCAACCATAAAGCTCTTGGCGCGAGTAATAAACAAATTAACAACCTGTATACTTGCCATGTTGTGCGAGTGGTTTACTTGTGCAACTATTTGTCACTCGTCGCGCCGCGTGAGCGCTAAACTTGTTGATTACAAATGAAAAAAATAGTGTTTACAAAGATGGTATACTTGCCAAGTACGCAAATATTGGTGTGCTTGTCAAGTACACGAGTCGTCAGACTCAAGTATGCATTATTCTACGGTAACCGCAAAACATTTTCCGATGCACGTCATCAATCATATCGACATTGACACTAAAGTCTATAAACCTGACTAAATGAAATTTTGGCAAAAATGTTTAAATTTGTTGTATAATTTAAGATACCGAGCAGCTCTTCATTTTACTTTATAGAGCAAATGATTGTAACAGATATTTTATTTATGTGTTCAGTAACTTTGTCGTTTATTTGATAATTATCCTAATGTCAGTCATTATTTTGTATAATATCGTGTTGTTGAATCTTTAAGGGCCGGCTACACGAACAAGTTTTACCACGAGCTTACCTGCGCAAACCTGTTTGTATCGGGAACTCGCTGTGTGTAGACGGTAAAACGGTAGCACGCACAAACCAACAAGCGCGGCCTGCGTAAACGTCGCGCTGCTAAAGATTTTAGTTTGCGCAAACCAGTTTGTGCGGTGATATCATACGTGTAGACGGTATCAGCGAGTTTAAGGTACAGTTTTGTGACTTTTGTAGGTTTTGTATTATTAGTTATCAACTCTTAGAAAATGTCCGATATTCACACTTATTCCAATAAGGAGTTTATCACGAGTTTTATTGAAATATATTGATCGTTGCCATGTCTATGGAAGATAAAATTGAAAGATTATTCCGATAGAAACAGAAAAAATGATGCGTACAAGAAAATGGTTTTCTATTTAAGTCAGTTTTTACTCCACTTCGATCTATACCGTTTATTTTGCTGTTTTTTCTTTAACAATAAGCAATAAAAAACAATAATTCGTCACTTGACATTTCCACCAACGGAACCACAAATTCAGAATAAAAATAATGATGAATGTACGCTCTTACTTGCATCGCGTGGACACCGCACAGTGTTCCTTCTAGTTTGCGCAAACTATACCGTGCAGGCAAGTCGCTGTCGTGTAGCCGCCGCTTAAAGATTTTAGTTTGCGCAAACCAGTTTGTGCGGTGATATTATACGTGTAGACAGTATCAGCGAGTTCAAGGTACAGTTTTCTGACTTTGTGGGTTTTGTGTTATTAGTTATCAACTCTTAGAAAATGTCTGATATTCGTACTTATTCCAATAAGCAGTTTATGACGAGTTTTTTTGAAATATATTGATCGTTGCCGTGTCTATGGAAGATAAAATTGAATGATTATTCCGATAGAAACAGAAAAAATGATGCGTACAAGAAAATGGTTTTCTATTTAAGTCAGTTTTTACTCCACTTCGATCTAAACCGTTTATTTTGCTGTTTTTTCTTTAACAATAAGCAATAAAAAACAATAATTGGTCACTTGACATTTCCACCAACGAAACCACAAATTCAGAATAAAAATAATGATGAATGTACGCTCTTACTTGCATCGTGTGGACACCGCACAGTGTCCCTTCTAGTTTCCGCAAACTATACCGTGCAGGCAAGTCGCTGTCGTGTAGCCGCCGCTTAAAGATTTTAGTTTGCGCAAACCAGTTTGTGCGGTGATATTATACGTGTAGACAGTATCAGCGAGTTCAAGGTACAGTTTTCTGACTTTGTGGGTTTTGTGTTATTAGTTATCAACTCTTAGAAAATGTCTGATATTCGTACTTATTCCAATAAGCAGTTTATGACGAGTTTTTTTGAAATATATTGATCGTTGCCGTGTCTATGGAAGATAAAATTGAAAGATTATTCCTATAGAAACAGAAAAAATGATGCGTACAAGAAAATGGTTTTCTATTTAAGTCAGTTTTTACTCCACTTTGATCTATACCGTTTATTTTGCTGTTTTTAAGCAATAAAAAACAATAATTCGTCACTTGACATTTCTACGAACGAAACCACAAATTCAGAATAAAAATAATGATGAATGTACGCTCTTACTTGCATCAATTGTTTGCGCAAACTATACCGTGCAGGCAAGTCGCTGTCGTGTAGCCGTCGCTTTATGAGCAATTCTCATTTTTTTGGCCTATTTTGGTAGTTTTTTTTAAGTTGTACTTTTAAGCACAAACAGTTCTTTTAAGAACTAAATTTTCGAGTTTTTGTTTTGGTTTGGCAATTGCATTTCTTGAAATTGTGTGCTGAAAATACGCCAAAGCATTTAAACAGTCGAAACAAAGAGCTTGTAGCTTCCCTGATAAACTATTTTGAACGATAACGTGACAATAAAGGTTCTTTATTACCCTTGACTGCAGTAAGTTTAATTGATAACCACTTTCAAAGTTATTTCTACGTTGGTTTTTATTAAATTCTGTGATTATTAGGTTGTGCATTAATATCACCCTCTTACTTGTTATTACCACTTATGGCGTTGTAAGATGTACATCAATAAATAAATAAATAACCCATAATAATACTTAGAATAATCTTCATAATGGACTAGTTTATGCCAATATGTAATAAATAAAAAATAAGCTATAAAACAAATAAATTAATTAATTACTAAAATGTTAGTTATTAAATTAAAAATAAAACGTAAAAATCTTTAAAAAATGATATAAGAAATATATTGTTTGTCAATTTTAAATTAAGATTCGTCTCATAAATCCATCAAAATCTGGCAGCGCTGTCGCCATCGCTTGTCACTCAAAGTTGATCACGTCCATCGGAAATTGTTTTGCGATTACCTTATGTAGTTTTATTTAAAACAACTAAAAAATATAGTTTTATGCAATGAGTAGATGTACTTCAAGCAAATATCCCATTTGATGCAGACATTTCTGCGGACACCATATATTTATTGTAGACTACCTCTATCTATACAATTTTACACAGTTTATAGTTGATGATGTTCTAGCCTGACAAGAATTCCCTTTCCAACGCAGCGCCCATCATGTTCCATTCCCCGTCGTCGTTTTCGTCAGGCTCTTCGAAACTATCACTGTCGTTATCGTCGGGATCGTGATCTGGATCGTCCAGCTCGTTATCCACATCTTCGCCTCGACGAAATTTCTGACTAGGTAGATCTTCCCGGCTATTTTCATCTTCTTCTCGTTCTCGCTTCCTTTTCGCACTCTCCTTCTCTGAAGATAAAAACGAAATTTACGGAAATTAGAATATTACATTTTATACAGGGTATTCCAAAATGCACGGCAAAATCCTCATTAAAAATATTGAATAAAGTTCCAATAAACATGGATACGAAATAAATAGTTAAGATACAAGATTGAGGTTAACAAGGATGAGCGTTACTTCTAGTAATATTAAATCTAATTAAAGTAGAAACGGTCTTCCTGCCGAGCCCAACTAGCATTTATAGTGGCAGATACGTAACTGCTACTATCAAAGCCACTACAAAGTGGGCGGTGACCATCGGCGGCTACGTCGTATATTCGTAGCTGTTAAGTAACTGCGACCAAAATGGGGAAAGATTTTGAGTAGCCGGGTAGTGTCTTGGGTAGTTTTTGCCACTAAAAGAGTTACTATGATGTGTTACTATAAAATAGCCTACTGGTGAATGCGACTTATCCGTTACGAAGCTGCCTAGTCGCGGGTTCGTGGCAGCCAAGTGTTAGCCACCGACATGTGGAACTTTCGTCAAACTGTTGAACTTTATTCGCAGCGACCTCTTCATGCAATTTCACATTTCATAAAAATAAATGTCATGATGGAAAATAATTATGGAAGCCATTATTATTTTTTCGTTATTTGTTATTTACCTTGCGATTTTAACGCCTTTTTTAGGTAAATTCCAGAATGCAATCAACTTTACTGAATAAAATAGTGGGTTTATATAACAAAATTTTCGATCGCCTCGCAAAATATTTCAAATTATTATATTATTTACAATAGAAACCCATGTTTGTAATTAAAAAATAATAATAATTTGCTTGAAACCGGGGTCAAACTTTAAAATATTAGTCCACCGTCAGAAATAACAAAATAACTAAGTAAAAAAGCTTTAGTCTAGGTATATTTAGCTTAAAAACGCATAATGTTTGAGCCATTTGGCTGATCGTCAAAAAATTCATGAAAAAAATATGGCCGTTTAATCAGAAAAATACTTTATAGTTCCATATGCTTCCACAAAGTACCGGGAACAATAACATATTAGGCCAACCCTACCCGTTTGGCCCTTTAAAATCTTCGGATTAATAAAGTAACATTTGTAGCTATCCAAAGGCGACTTTATAGAAGCTAAGGCGACTATATATAACTTTTTTGGAACTACATGGGCAACGATTCTTGGGAACCATGAAGTGATTTTTCCAAGAAAGTTCCCTGCGCCACCAAATTGCCACTTAATTGGAGCCTTGCTAGACCGATCGCGGTGGTGACGACTATACATTCCATTGGTGCCACTATAACGTTCCGCCTTGTCCTTTGAAGTTATTTTTTACTTATTGTGCATTTTCTATTATTAGTGTTTCTATATTATTCAGAGCTACATGAGGTATAGAGTATTTTAACGCCCACTCTTTTAGCTCTTGTTTTATATTGTTGGTTCTCAAATTAGTTCTCCTCTGAGATTCGGTTTCAGATGAACTAACACTACACTCATCTACAGAAACAGCTTCAAAAATGTCTCAGTCACTACCTGATTTATGATGTTCATCAGTAGGATTATAGAAAGATGTAGTTTTTGTTTTTTTGTTTCTGATGTTGATGCATCGGCTCGCAGTGATTCCTTTTGTTTAATCCTTCGGTAGAAAATACTAGCATATCTAAATTTCTTTTTATTCGCCTTAGGGATTTTACGAAATTTTAATAAAGCTTAAAAGCAAGTAAAAGAAAACTCTAAACCAGAGCAGCACACGATGCAATCTGAGGCAATTACACTTATTAGGGTATAATAAGTTACGGTCACTAGAAAGTAGCCGTTTTTGAACCCCGTGACTTTTTAGTGGCAATGGATGAGCGACGGCTACTTTATAGTGACCTAGGAAGGTAGCAGTAACCATTTTGCTACTTTCAATGCTACTATAAATTTGAAGTAACTAGGTGTCGTGGCCGCGACTACCCCGTAACTTAAATTGTTACTATAAAGTAACAAAAACTTAATGGAGGCATTATGGTAGCACTTGTTGGTAACCCCTACTTTGAAAAGTTACTAAAAAGTTTTTGGTCTTTTATGGTGTCATATTCGAAGATTCGGGTAGTTCCAGCCACTTCTTTAAATTACATGTTTGCGACTTGCACTCGGGGTGTTTATTTTCCACTTTTATGGTAGGTGGGGACTAACTGGTCACTCTCGAAATATACTTCAAAGTGACTACTATTCCTTATAGAGTAACATTTTAAGTGGCAGAGTGGGCCTAGGAACTATACTTTAGGGGCAGTGACATTTTAAAAAGGACAGGAACCTTGCACCACCTACCTGCTGAACCTTATCCAGGGTCAGAACTTCAATGTAAGGACATCGAGTTGGCGAGTCATCAACTCGAGGGAGGAGGGACATGGTCAGGTCCTCACAATAGGAACTGACCTCAAATCCAAGGAGGCAATAGAGAAAGAGAGACATATCCTCTATTATAGATACGGGACAACACCGGTATCAGGTCTAAGAAGAGATCAAGTTAAAGAGGTGGAGAAAATGGAGACAGATCCTCCAGCCTCCACCTCACCGGGTACCTCAGCCGGAGGCAAGCTCCTCGACTGTGAAGGGCGGCACGGAGGGCCAAACTCCAACCGTGGAAGGGTGTGTACCCTCGGAGGAAGAACTGTTGTCAGATGAGGATGGGAAATACCCTGACCCCTCTACAACAGTGGTATGATGGGTTATAGACTGTGTGATGACTCAAGGAACAGGGGTAGTACAATTAAAGTAGAGAAGGACTAACTGAAGATCCATAACTACACATTAGGGTGAGCCAAAAAAAAAAACTAACCTATGGAATTTATGGGTTAAAATGAACCTAATAACCAAACAATAAAAAAAAAATATCCCCGGAAGGCAGGATTTTTAGCTCAATTTTAAAAGGTGAACATTCGAAGTTTTCCATTTAAAGAACACGTAAAAAAATATTTTTCCATTAAAAGTACCATAACTTTGAAACGGTTTACGATAAAAAAATTACATCGCGGATTCTTGTAGAGCATAACATTTCCTAAAAAATCTATCTGAGAGTACATATTTTTTTTTCAATTCAATAATTCGTATATTTGAAAGCTTTGAAAAGTGAAACAAAATCAAAATATGCAGTTTTAATGTTTCTTGATTAAAAATTTTCATATTTAGCAAACAAAACTAGATTACTCTCAGATAGATTTTTTAGTAAATTTTATGCTCTACAAGAATGCGCGAAATAAATAATTTTATCGTAAATCGTTTCACAGTTATGGTACTTTTAATGGAAAAATATTTTTTTTACGTGTTCTTTAATGGAAAACTTTGAATGTTCATCGACACATTTTAAAATTGAGCTAAAAATCCTGCCTTCCGGGGATATTTTTTTCTCGGTTATTAGGTTCATTTTAACCCATTAATCCCATAGGTTACCTTTTGGCTCACCCTACTACATATACACGAAATTAAAAGATGCAGAGAGTACAAGCATTTTGGAAGTATTATATCTGAAGAACCCCAAGAAAGATATACACAGCGGAGTTCAACAAGGTAAAAGAAAGTAATCGGCCTTTTAAACTTTCTCCTGTGGTCAAGTAAAACATCCATCTGAACAAAGCTAACTCATGCAAGTAGCACTTTTAGACACAAAATCGAAATAAAATCTCTGCTGAGAAACAGTTTCGAAACAATGATGGTGTTTGTGTCATGACACAAAGTTCTGGAATTAATTCGACACATTTTTGATAGGTATGTTTCGTAACATAAATCGCTTTTTGTTTCGAAATATTTTTCCGAAATATTGTTTCGCTACATATAAGCTATAACAATAAAGATCTTAGTGTCACAAATTTTTCGAAACTTTTAAGAAACAGACGTGGCTCACATTTACAAAGGTTTCGTATCCGTTTTATGTAAATTGAAACATTTTGGAAACATATTTAAGGTTTCCATTTATTGTCGACTCATTTTCGAGAAAAGAGTTATCTCTTTTTAGACACAACTATGATATAATGCAGATAATTTGTGTACCACTCCATATTAATTTTATAAAATAATGAATTACAATTCCGCCATGTTGGCTAGTGATACCGTTTTTAACTAAAAATATTTGTTTTTATCGGTTGTTGAGTTTTTTGAAATCATAAGAATGCATTCTACTTACATTAATTGAAGAGTGGAAATACCAAAGGGGGCAAGTGCCAAATTTTTCAATATTATTTATTATTTATATTATTATTACATTTGCTGCATGTCCTAACAAAAGTTACAAGTGCAAAGCGAAAGCGTCTATTGTTTATGTATATTATATATATTTTTTAAAAGATAGTTTAAAAATTTATTAGTTTCAGTTCTACTATGTTTTTCTCATTCATCTCGAAAAAATAATTTTGGCACTTACCCCCTTTGGTATTTCCACTCTTCAATTTATATATAATACCGGGTGCGTCTCAAAAGTGGCTCACCCCTATAACTTTTTTATTTTTTCAGATAAAAAAACGAGATTTGGTATGTTAGTATATGACATAAATTAGGATTGATTGGTGTATTCAATTGTTTTTGGTCACTTCCTGTTTCGCCGGAAATTACTACAACTTTTGATTTTTAAATGGCACCATAGGTTTATTTCTACTTTATTTGATAGAAAATTACATTCTGAATAAAATGAAGTATCATATGTCATATGATCACACATCATATGTGTACTTTTGACATTTTCTACAACTTTTGATTTTTTTGATTGACTACAACTTTTGATTTTTAAATGGCACCCTCCATATTTTTTTACTTTATTCGATAGAAAATGACATTCTGAATAGAATGACATATCATGTGTCAACTTTTGACATTCTCGCTTAATAAAAAAATGTTTTTTAAAATTCAATCTAGAGTGCCATGTGTATGTTAAAAACATTAATTCTTCATCAAGGAGCCTTGGAAAAATAGATTTGGTCGTCTAATGTTTTTAGTGTCTTGCCCTGGCCAGTTAGAAAATGCTCAAATCGTATTTTTAATCGTATCTCAATTTTTTCAAATGGAACGAGGGTGGCTCATTAGCATATTTGGAAAAAGCATTTTTTTACGAATAAATTAATACCACACACATGGTATTTCAAGTCAAATTTTCGTTACGAACCGCAAGTTATAATTTCAAATAAACCATATGCGAAAGTGTCAAAAGTTGACATATGATATGCCATTCTATTCAGAGTGACATTTTCTATCGAATAAAGTAAAAAAATACCGGGGATGCCATTTAAAAATCAAAAGTTGTAGGCATTTCCGGTGAAACCCGAAGTGACCGAAAACAATTGAATACGTTAATCAATCCTAATTTATGTCATATACTAACATACCAAATCTCGTTTTTTAACTAAAAAATTAAAAATTTAGAGGGGTGAGCCACTTTTGAGTCGCACCCGGTATAGTTTTATTTTCAGAACCATATGATATAGAAATAAAAATAAAAATCTATATTTCAAACAAAAATATTTTGTACCATCAAATAATGATATTTTTGGGGATTGCATACCTTCTAAACTTTTCTCATCCGCTAAACTTTTCTCATCTGTGATCTGACAAGTTTCCCTTTCACCGTCATCCTCTTGCTTATCATATGCACCTAATATTTCTGTTTGCATCATGTGCTCAAATTTCGCTTCTTCCACGTCAGTATCTTCTTCTTCTTCCTCTTCATTGTCTGCTTTGGCAAATACTTCATTTTCACGATCACTATCATCAGACTCATCGTCTAGAATATCTTCTACCTGGTAAAATATAATAAAAATATACCCAAACTTTTTAGATAGGCTTCAGTTTGATCGAGATTAAAATAATCCTAAATATTTTTATTATTATATTAGCTTATTACATTTTAAATTGACAATCGATAGCTGTAAGATTAAACTTGGAATCAGAGTTCCGTAGCTGAAAGACTTATTAGGAAAAGTGATTTATAGTTGCCGTAAGACGTTATGATAAAGACATAATCACAAAAAAACATCCCCCTTTAGAACTTCATCTGTCATGTTAAGAAATGAAAGTAAATAAAGCACCTCTCGTTTTTGTTTGCATTCTAAAAATTTCAATTAGTGCCTGTATATATTTCTAATAAATTTTTTTAATTTGTAATGTAATATATTACATTTAAATGGAATAAATTACATAACAATTAGTTATGTCAATTACAGGCTTGTTTTCTAACATTTTTTTAAATAAAACGAATTGTAAAATTTCAATATATTTATATTTGTCGTAGTCACGAAAAAAGTAAAATATAAAATGGACAAACACTTACTTACATTGCAATAAAACTGCCACTTTTAGTTTTGCAATCCAAACGCAATATTTCTTTTTCACAAATAAAAATACCCGACAACACTAAAATCACTGAAACTTCCGCGGCTGACAACGAAAACTGAAAAATATAACTTTTTATTTTGTACCCGCATATCAAAATTACGCTGTACCATTATTTTTTTGTTTTTGAAATAATATAAAATATAATAAAATTGTCTAATTACTAATTATAACTTGTGAATTTTAATAATAACTTCTTGTTATCAAGATGACATTTTAGACGCCAACTGAAATATACCGGGTGCGGTATATCAAAAGTGGCTCACCACTATAACTTTTTTTATTTTTTTCAGATAAAAAAACGAGATTTGGTATGTTAGTATATGACATAAATTAGGATTGATTGACCTATTCAATTGTTTACGGTCACTTCCTGTTTTAGCGGAAATTACTACAACTTTTGATTTTTAAATGGCACCCTAGATATTTTGTTACTTTATTCGATAGAAAATGACACTGAATAGAACGACATATCATATGTCAACTTTTGACATTTTCAAATATGGTTGATTTGAAATTGCAACGTGCAATTCATAACGATAGTTTGACTCGAAATACCAAGTGTGTGGTACCAAATTATTCGTAAAAAAATGCTTTTTCCAAATATGCAAATTGATTGGGCATCTTATAGCTGGCCAGGACAAGACACGAAAAACACTAGAAGATCAAATATATTTTTCTAAGGCTCCTTGATTAAAAATTAGTGTATTTAAGACAGCTATGGCACTCTAGATTGAAATTTAAAATATAATTTTGTTTTAAGCAAAAATGTCAAACGTTGACATATGATATGTCATTATATTCAGAGTGTCATTTTCTCTCGAATAAAGTAAAAAAATACCGTGAATGCTATTTAAAAATCAAAAGTTGTAGTCACACACTAACATGCCAAATCTCGTTTTTTTATCTGAAAAAATAAAAAAATTATAGGGGTGAGCCACTTTTGAGACGCACGCGGTATATATATTTTAATTTTACACATGTATGTAATATAATTTAAATTAATATAATGCAACTTTATACTAAGAAAACATTTATACATTCACAAAATACAACAAAATCCAATAATATAGTTTAAAAACAATGAAAATTGAATTAAAATTAAAAAACGTTAAGCGCGACCCCTTGTGTCCAAATTAGATGGTTAAATTTTCCCAATTTTTACACCATATGATGACCGGTGGCATCTCTAGTGTTTGTTCGCAAAGTTAGTCTTTTACTCCCGTTTATAGCCATTAAAGAAAAAGTTATAAAGAAGGATGTTTTGTGGATGTAACAAAGCAGTACAGCAGTAGCAGTAAGGTATACCTTAGTAGGTTATATAGTTTGAACAGATGAATTGTGATTAAATTATACAGGATGCATTTTATATCATTTGATTGCTTTTCCAAAAATGCCTCTATTACTTGAAGAATCAGTTTTTTGCTTATTTTGAAATGATTAATTTATTATACTAAAATAGGTCTATTATCTGTTACCCCTGTCCCAAAATTTCCGAAAAAAATCAAATAAAATAACTAGCCAGGTCTGACAGCCAGATATTGAAACCATTTGTTTGCTGATTTGAATTTGTATGTTCGGCAACAATCAGGTGAAATCGAAACTCCTTCGGTTCGTTACATTTAGTTTTTGTACGTACGTTAAAATACACAAAGATCCATAAACACGAGAGAATGTCCCACTGCGGGTGTCAAACGATACATTTATGTATACGTCTTTGGCCGTGTTTTAACTGTCTAACGTCTACTTACCTCCTTATCCATATTAGCTATATCATCGCTTGAAAATGACATCAGCGGATTGATAGTGTCCATAAAGCGACCGCTAGGGGTCCTCTTTCGCGTAGCCGGCGTCTCATGTTCCGGATAGGTGACCGCGTGTTCCGGACTGCTGCAGTGTGGCGGAGGGTGGCGGTTTTTTGAACCTTTCGAGTTCAAAGGGAATATCCGTTCGTCGACGTGTTCCCATCGTTCGGCGCAAGACCACAGCCAGTCCGGCGTAACAATTTTTAAATGTTTCATCCGTCGAGCAGCATTAACCTAATAAAACGTTACAAATAAGGAGCAGACTTTCTAGATGCATTTTGTCCATTTTTTTTTAATTTTGGCAAACAAAGAAAAACTGCTACACGTTTTGCAAGAAATTTACAGAAAAAATAGTACACCTACATGTGAAAATCTAGTTTTGATGATATCTGGAAAAATTGAAAAAAACTGTTCACTGTCCTTTAGACGTGAAATTTCTCTTTATTTTTCTGCCACCACGGTCCATACCTCCAACTCAACGATCTCCAGTCGTAGTTCCAATCATTATTTTAAGTAGTATTATTCAAAAAATAGAGAAGTTGTAGTACAAAAAAGACACGCTTCATCTAGCAATGACAAACGAACAGCAGTATGTCCACAGCACAAAAGAACATACTTGTTTGTTTGTCTATCGTCAATGGACATACAGCACATTATGGAGTGTAGAGGTAAGGAGAAATATCTTCGTGCATTAAAAAGTGGTCATAAAAAGGGAAGATTTAGATGGGGCTGCAGACCTAAAATTTAAAATATGCGCCGAAAATTTTTAGAACAGGAAATGATTCAAAAGAGATAAATATTTGACGTGAAGGCGCGGGTTTTAATACAAATTTTATTTTTAAGTCACATGAAATAAATTATCGATTTTTATTCAGCGGCAATATACTGAGCCCCTAATAAATAAAAATAATTGTTTTATATTCTAAAAAATAAAAACAAAGCTTTTTTGGATAATGTTTAGTTATGTTGCTTTTATTCTCTTATCTATGGTTACTTTCCATTTTTTAGATTTATGCGTCATTAGCGCGACTGACTGTGGTCATTTGGCGAACCCTTATTCTTCCCATTTTTGTGACCACTTTTTCAAATAAAGTCCCAAAACAGATATTTCTCCTCATGTCTACACTCCATACAACACATAGAAAGTTCGCCATTTAATTTGAATGGGATAAAATGAATTTAGAACATCGTTTCTGACATAATATTATAACACTGTGTATGCAGTTTGCAGTGCCACCTTTGGTTGAAAATCATTAAAAATGGACAAAATGCATTAAGAAAGTCTGCTTCTCAAATGTTTCAGGAGTAAAATATCTGTGATACATAGAAGTAATACTCCTATAAAGCTAATTTACAGCAAAAACAGCATCTTCTACAGAGTTATTAATAGGTAAAAAAGTTCATATGCATTCGAAAAAACTAATTTTTCTCATTAGTCTTTTTTCTAGTTCTTCGCTAATATGTCTGTAACGTACAGCTGGTTCCAATAAAAATGAATACGACTCTTTACACATTTTTTTCGAATATTTGGGCAGTGTATATTTATGTGTCAAATATTTTGACATGTTAAGGTTATTGTGACATTGTATAAAACAACTTTGCTTTTGACAAAGTGGCAAATAAATTTTTCAGAACGTCAGCCTGACATGAATAGAGAAATGGAGGACTGGTATCATAGAATATATACTGCCCGAAATAATAAAAATATGTTTTATACCGTACTCAATTTTATTGGAACCAGGCTGTACATAACAGTTGGAAATCAGTGATTGTTAACAATTACTAGTAAAAGCTTACATTCACTGATTTGCTAAGACTACGCCAGTAAAAGTTCAACAGCTATTTTTGATACCAACTTGTACTAGTGAATGCTAGCATTCCCTGGACGATAGCAGTTAGTTTGAAAGATTCAGTTAGCGCGGTTGCCACATGTTGTAAAATATAATGATAAATAACGATAAGCTGAATTATAGACAATATAAGGATAACATTAAATTGGGCTAAACGTTGGCAACGTTGACAGATATCTGGCGTAAATTCGCTCTGTTTGTGGTTATGTATAATTGTTTTTTTATCGTTGTAAAAAGTGCTGTGCGGTATTTTCCCTATGGAAGAAATTTTCTGTGAAAAATTAAGGTAAACTAGGCACTGTCAAAAATGTAATAGTGCTTGTTTTTCATTTCTGCAATATAATGAAGTCATACCAAAGTTAAGCATGCAAGAGTAAAATATATTAAGGAACCTGGTGACTATGAACTTATTAAACGTTTTGGTATGCTTTAAGGCGGGTTTGAAAAAACGAATAACTCCCATTGAAGAAAATTCGGGCATTGTTTATTTTCTCCACGATGAAAAACTTTATTGAAATTTGTACCAATAAGTAGTAATCTTATGTTTATGAATGTGTTGTCCTTATTTTCTATAATTTTTAATAAATATACTAAAGAAGTAAATTGTAATTTTAAGATATTATGTGGATCAGCTTGAATATTGAGGTGATCCAATATTCTTAAAAGTTTTATTGTTCTTTCAACCAACATTTTTCCTCACCACACTCGCCCTATACAATAGAATAACTTTTATTGGCAACCTTTAGTAAATGTTACTTTCACTAGTGAATGTTGGAAATTACTAGGAAAAGTCGACAAATATCTTTAAAATACCACATTCACTTGTCCAATACGTAATTGCTAGCATTTCCTAGTGAATGTTAACAATCACTGAAATTCTGACTTTCACTGTAACATGTACAATAACTGAGTACACTTGTATAATCCAATGTTACTGAAAATAATTAGTAAATAAATATTTGTATTGCCATTATCATATTATTTTACATTGTGTAACAAAATATATTTTAATAAAACTTCTGCATTAAATCTTAAAACCCTAATACTCTACACTGGTGTAGTGAGGACCTTTTTAGGTAGCTCTTTTAGCCATCATATATCGCACTCTCTCGGCAGGCTTAAAGTATTAGCCCTATAGGAGTATTACTTTTATAGCGTGAATTAATAAAAACAACCTTGCAGAAGACGCATAAATTACAAATCTGAGTATACTTCAGGTGTTAAAATAGCAGTAAATATAATAACATTTTAAATAAGATAATTTTTACGTCTACTGGTTTAAATTTAGTTTTTATTCTATCAAATAGTTAATACCTTAGCTGTTCGTGGTCTGACTGCTACTAAATGCGTAGCAAATTCATATAAATCTTCTAGAACTTCGGCACCTAAACTTCTAGCAACTTGATATGCTTTCGATTCTTCTAAACTAGAATGAGTAGATACCAAACCGCTAAATACCAAACGACAATCTTGTAATACTTTACTTCTTACATCTAAACATATATAAATTTTATAATAAGATTAAAATATACAGAGCGATAACAAAAAGATTTGAAGTTAAGCAAGTTTTGAAGAATGGCAGATTAATAATTCTTTTGAATTTGTTTATCTGCCAGCGTCTAAAGCCAGCTTTATCTTCAAACTTTCCGATCACACAGTTCTTAAGTCGCAGAATACCTTAGCTATACAGCAGCGACAGTAAGCGTCAGTTCCTTTGAACTATGCTTCCAAAATATGTTGACCTTAAACTATACATTCTGACAAACTCAAGCATACTAAAAAAAATTGTAATTTTTTACAAGTTATTAACAGAAAAAAGCGTTTTTAAGAGTCTATTGCGCTGTACTGTTCGGGTCGCTCTCAGGGGTCGGAAAAAGAGGGTGTGCGGCCGAAGGAAATATATATCATATTTCAGAAATCTGCCTAAACCTTAGCCCGATCCTGTCCTGTTAAGCTACCCAAAATTCCAAACACACATGCTTTGATTAAGACGTGCAGAGCTTCAGCATTTGCCATAAAATAGCAAGCAATTTGTTACAAAACCATATAAATTATATACACTGTAATCACAAAACTTCAATCTTTGTCGGTATTGTAACGGAATTTTAAATTATTTCTTTATTTTCGAGAAAATTTAGTCCAAACATTAGGTATATTTTGTTGAAGTTTGACCATCAAAACTTAAAAATAAAGAAGTTATCTAAAAATGTGCGACAATACCGACATAATATAATCTTTTATCTTTAATTTCCTTCTTCATTTGTGTAAAAATACTTGGCCAGTTTTACATAAAACGTTAAATGCCGAATGCTTATTTTGCTACTTCTTTGGACTAGTGAAATTGACTCTTAAGGGAAATTTTAGTAGTTCAAAAAAGTTTTTTTTCTAATGAAATGTTTTTTACACCTAGAAAAATAGTTTTTACATTACGGCTTTTAAGATATTCATTCCTGATATTAATCATCAACTAATCAAAATTTTACAACTGGCGTTATTAAAATAATAGTCTGAAAATACTTATCATTTAAAATTTGGTCAACAAATAAAATTGTCGCTTCTGTATAGTTAGGTATAAAATATCTAGATAATATTAGAGTACGATAATTATCTTCATTTTGGTACCATTTAGAGGAAAGATATTTATCAAATAATAAACAGGGTCCAAAAACACAAAAGTAATTGACAAACCAACTGCATTACTCTATATTGTCTAGGGACTTTAGTAACACAATTCCTTGCTTAAATGATTACCTGGAATTATTTGTTTTAGATCTGGAGTTTTCCCAGCTTCCATTGTGTCGAATTTCTCGTAAAACGTCGTATGAATACGTTTCAAAATATCCTCTAAATATATCAAATAGTCATCGGGATCTTCTATTTCTATAAAGTTATCTTCACTTTGTACTACTTTAACAGAGGCATTATCAAACGATTTAAATGGACCATCATCACCATCATTAGCCATCTTTTCTTCTTGATCTTCTTCTTTATCTATGTTATTACTTTGGTTACCAGTTGATGTGTCTTCACCATTATTTTTTACACATTCATTCTGTTCTGTGGAATTGGCTTTGTCCTCATCCTCATTTGTCTTTTGTACATCTTCAGATATAGGTAAACCATTTTTTTCTCTTTCTTTAGTGTCAATTTCTTTATTTACAGAGTTTTCTGGTTCTTTTTTTGATTCCACTTCATTTTCTTTTGTATCTTTATTTTCTTTTGTATCTTTATTTTCCTTTGTATCTTTATTTTCCTTTGTATCTTTATTTTCTTTTGAGTCTTTTGTATTTTCTTTATCAGGTTCTTCCTCTTTATCAACAGCTTCTGTTTTATCTTCCTTCGCGTCATTATCATTGTCTTCTAAATCAGTCTTACTATTGTTTTGGATCGTTTTATTCATTAAATTCGTTAAGTCAATGCCTTCTTTGTCGTCATTTTCTTGTTTGCCTAAACCAGGGGGCGCATTTATGTCACCGGTGTGTTGAAAAAAATGGTAGGGTTTCACATGAATTAGATTTCTTGCGTGCGACCATACATCTTCCCTGTCATCGATAATGCAAACCATATTGTCTCCACATGGAAAAAGAGCTCTAGAAATCAAATAATACTGATCAGGATAATTTTTAAATATGTTAAATAATATTTATACTAATATACAGGGTGGTCCGAATTGTATTCCGGAAATTTCGGCAGCATACACTGCAGATACAAATAAGTGAAAAGTTTGTATAAATGTATGTCCTAAAATGCTTAGTTTCGGAGATACAGGCTGTAGAAGTTTTATTTTTATTTATTTACGAAGTAACGTCAATATTTGCATAAAGATTGGTGTCTGTAAATTTTTTGACATGATAAATATATGGCAATATGACTCCTAATTGTAGAGGACGCCACCTACATATTTTTTAACTTGTTTGAAGAGTAATAACTTTTCTTCTGTACCTGTATAAAACTACTGAGTAAAAAGATATATTTACGAAGTTTTTTACGTAAAAAAGATCTCTTGGTAAAAATCGCTATGTAAGAGACCGCCAAGAAAAAAGTTCAGATTCGTAATCTACGACCTCAAAATAGAGTGTATACCAATTTTGGTGAAAATCTGACGATTTCCAGTTTTCCCAATAATTACCTTGGAAAAACTTGAAATAAGAATGAAACTTCTACACCCTGTATCTCCGAAACTAACCATTTTTGGACATAAATTTATACAAACTTTTTTACTTATTTTTATCTGCAGAATATGCTGCCGAAGTTTCCGGAATATAGTTCGGACCACCCTGTATATTATACAAGATCGTAAATTTTGGTAGATTGAATTTTGAAGACGACACTTAAGTATTATACAGTACCTCTTGTCAAAAAAATTAAAAAGGACTTTAAATAAGCAGTCAATTTAGTCTAAAAACGAATATGTTTCAACAACCACTAGGTATAGTATATGACATTATGGTATTTTTGAAATGGAGATTTAATGGCAAATCCACTGAGCTAAAAAAATTATAGTATTCCATTTAAAAATATACAACTTTGGTTTGAAAATATGTTTGAATCACCCTGTATATTGACAAAAATATTTTCGAAATATGAATTACCATTGGCCATTGTAAAAAAAAATTCAAATGAAAATCACAAACCAAAGACCTAATACATAGAGCTTTTTCAGAAGCCTGGGTCACCCTGTACACTTTACGATTATTTTCATAAAACTAATACACAATTTAAACATTACCTTAAGTTAGCCTTCTTGCTTGTTGGATTAAAACACTCGTCCCTGCTCAATATCCGATTTGCAAAATACTTTTGATCTGGATCTAAAAACATTGCAATCATATGTGCGTAGTTTCTTGATCCAAAAGTGCAAATATGCAACTCATATAGTTCATAAATTGATTTCAGAAAAGTCAGAGTCCCCGGTCTTAATCTTGTATGATACCATGGTGACTGAGGTCCATGCAATTGAAAATGATAAACATCTTTTATATTTGGGGGTATATTGTCGTGTGTGGTATGAATCAACGTTTGATCTAAATCGACAAGTAATACAAGTTTCCGATCCTTTATCAGGCATTCATTGTCAGCTTTACCAAGTTTTTGAGCTTGCTAAAATTTACAAAACTTGATTGTTGGTATTGCAATATAAATGTGTCAAAATCTATCAAGAACTTTAAACATGTAACATTTTAGGCACTGGTATGTACTTATTTTAAAGTAGTAGTCTCACTGAATTTTGTTTTCTAACATATTTACTTATATTTGTGTATTTATCAATACTTTCAATTTTCCAAATAGTAACTGTTAATAATCTTAATTATGTCTAAAGATAGTCATTATTCAATACTACAAAACTGTTATAATAAATACAAAACTTATCTATAGGTATCTCAAAAATGGTTATAAGACATTATCTTAAATATCTATATGTTACAAAACGTTTCACAGTATAAAAATAGTATGGCAAATATTAAGAGTATGTAAAATTGTAAATAGTATACATTTAATCGAATAGAAAGATTTCACAACAAAAATAGAAAACACAACAATGCTAGTGAGGTTAAGTTTACATTTTTAAAGTAATTAATAAATTATTGATTGAACTACATAAGTAATAACTGTGAAATAATAAAAATTGTTCAATTTTACCTCTTCACTGACTTTTAAATCTGGAATAGAGTGTATCATTGGAACAGAAGCTGTTGTTTTAAGACTCTCATCTTTTCTCAAATCCGTTCCACATTCAGCACACATATCGTTCATAATAGTTGGATGATTACATGCTTTGATTTCATACAAAATTTCACTACAAACGAAAAAAACACAATTTCAATTTGAAAGGCGCCAAAAATTTAAATACTCTTTACCCAGGTTGCACCACATCTCCTTCTTTCGCTAAAATCTGGTGTATGATTCCGGGCTGTAACGCCTTTAATCTCTTCTGTTCCGACTTCCCGTTCTCTAATTGTTCGTAAATTAGAAGAATACGGCCGATGGAGACCGTAATTCCTTTCCGAATTTTCCATTTTTTAATTTTTATCGGTTTTGTTTGTTGTTGTGACACACGCACAACTTCGTCGGCCATCTTGGATTTACGTTTACTCGCGACATCTTGTGGCATTTCGGAAAACTAATTCCCGCCAAATTTATGAATTCAAAATTAAAATATAGACCATAAGATATACGTTTTATTCATAATTAAGCATACATAAAAAACTACATTGTATATGACTAGTATTATAATTTTTGTGACGTTTAAAAAACAAAGAGGACTGATATTAAAGAATAATACAATAATTCTTAAGATTTGATTTTTTTACTGATGTGAATTAAGAAATATTTTAGGCATAAGTAAACTATTTTACATTTTTAAAAATTATATCAGTGGAATTAATTAAAAAGACTAACTAAATGAATTTTTAGATCATTTTTAATGTTGACTAAAACACCACAGATACATACTTAAGGATATTATAACAAACATATTTTAATCAGGTGTTGCAAAAAAAATGTAGGTACTTAATAGGGGTCAATAATATATAAAATATAATATAGTAAAAGAAAATATGATTTTTCTATAACACATTTACAAAATCACAATACGAAACAACTTTATTACATAAATTTATTTCTGCTATTAAGGTAATCTTGATAATTATATCCTTAAAGCACCTAAAGCACTAATGCACATGTAAGTTGTTCTCTTATATAAATTTATGTAATATACATCGTTGCCTGCTGCTGTCGAGGCGAAAAAAATAAGAACCTTAAATAATTTACGTTACATTTATCTTAAAAAATTAGTAATTCTGTTTTAACAGCATGCAGAACCTTGAGATCCACCTGAACCTCCTGCTCCTGGCAATGAAGGATTTGTTGGGGAATGTTGGGGGCCGATCTTGATTCCGTTTGCCTGAAAATGACAATAAGATTTGACACAAAGTAAATTATTGTGGCTCAACCCTATAACTTTTTTACTGTTTCATATAATAGAACGAACTTTGGTATGTAAGTATATGACATAAATCGGGAGTGATGGACGTATTCAATTACTTTCGGTCACTTCCTCTTTCACCGCAAATAAACTTTTGATTTTTAAATGGTACTATCGGTATTTTTTTACTTTATATAATAGAAAACGACATTCTGAATAGAATGACATATTATGTGTGAACTTTTGACATTTTCAACTAAAAAAAATTAGGATTTTAAATTTCAATCTAGAGTGCCATGGCTGTGTTAAAACTATGGAGTGTAGAGGTAAGGAGAAACAACTCTTACGGGACTTTTATTGAAAAAGTGGTCACAAAATGGGAAGAATAAGGGTTCGCCAAATGACCACAGTGGCGCTAAAAACGCATGAATCTAAAAAATTAAAAGTAACCATAGATAAGAGAATAAAAATAAATATAACCAAACATTACCCAAAAAAAGTTTTGTTTTTATTTTTTAGACAGAGTTTTTGAATATAAAATAATTATTGTTTATCAATATTTTGTGCTTGGTTTGGTTGGCGGTTTTTAAATAATAAATAATATTTAACAATGGTTAAAGTGTGTGTGGTGCGAAGTTGATTGAATATCTGATGGAAAAATAAAGAGCAAAGGCAAAGCCTACGGTATGTAAAATACATAATATAATTCAGTATTGTATTATTTGTATTACATGTAAAAATTAGAGTCAATCAAAAGTGTAGTAAACATTTTTCGTAAGATTATTGACATACATGTTACAAAGTATATTTTTACAATCCTTTTTATAAAGTTACAACCTAAATAAAATTTATTTTTAATGATTTTAAAGTTTGACAGACATGCAAAATTGTTGGCATTTTTTTAAACAAGTAAAAGTAGGAAATACATAAAATTGTAGGTACTGTGAAGAAATATAGTTAACTGTAAGTGCTGTATTTTAATAATCTATCAAAAATCAAAATCATCAGGATAATATTAGGTATTGATTTTCAGACAAGAATTAGATTACAGTGATGGTCAAAAGCATTTAGATACAGCTTTGAAGTCTACAGATAAGGTATGGCAGTTTCATTTTAAAGAACAAGATGTTAAAGTTTGTGATAAAATTGTCATCAGAAATACTGTCCATTTCAGTATTTACATAGGAAAATATTGGAGGATGAAGCTCTACCTACTGCCTCAGGTTAATTTAAATTCTGAATTGCAACAACAGCAACAAGCAAGAAGGGCACCATTAAATGAATATTATACACATACGTATTATTATACACAGAAAGAGTAATGTTATACACATAAATATTAACATTTTGTAGAGCAACAACAGAATAAAAAACCAAAATATGAACACCAACAACTAAAACAGGAACCATTAAATGAATATTATACACGTAAGTACAATTTGATCGAATAAAAAACGGCGTCAGCGATGCCTATGAAATGAAGATTGCTGTCATTTTATATGTAAAATGATATGGAGAATGTCATCGAGATGTTCATTTCCAAGCCAACTGGACGCCGTGTTTTTTCGATCATACAGTATTATTATACACATAAACATCCCTTGATAAAGATCAACATTTTGTAGAGCAATAACAGCATCAAATAATGGAAATAATGGACCCTATTGCTCAAATCAAAAACAAATTTCAGCATTACCACTTTATTGGTTATATCAATAAAAGAAATTATTGAGTTTATGAGTCTAGATCCTACAAGCAAGCAGATATAGTCTCATAATTTTAAATGAAGATATATCTATTATAGTATGTATAAACACTTTGCATCTTTTATTCAATGTTGTAACGAATTAACAAATTGTAGGAATTTATTCTAATAACGAAAAAAAAACTTTGGATCAAAAAATATTTTCTTCTGATGAGGTTTATGAATATTAAAGTCTGTTGAAGTTTGGCCATTATGTGTTGGTATACAATTTATTTATGATGTTACAGTAGTTAAACCATCCGAGTATGAAACATGTTTAAAATCCACTATTCTTAATGAATGGCAACTACCAACTTGAGAGGAAGCTAAGAGAAAGGTTCTATTGGGTGGACTAGAAGGAAAAGGGACATATACATGAGGATCTGGAAGGGCTATAACATTACGTCTCAAGCCATGGGACAATAGGAAACGAAATTCAAAGGAAAATATTACAATACGTTGGATGCAAATTATAGTGCAAAGAATTGAGAAAAAGAATTATTAAAAGTAGTTATTGTTACGATAGTTAAACCATCCGACTACCAAATATATTTAAAATCCACTATTCTGAATGAATAGCAACTACCAACTTGAGAGGAAGCTGCGAGAACGATTCTATTGGGTGAACTACAAGGAAGACATGAGCATCTGGAAGGGCTATAAAATTATATTATTTCACGTTTCAAGCCATGTTGGAATAGCTGGGAGTGAAAAAGAAGATAATACTGCACACCATTCTTGTCTAGAAGTAGTTGATATTAAGGTAGTTAAACCATCCTACTATCGAACATTTAAAATCCACTATTCTGAATGAATGGCAACTACGATGGGGCAAAACGTAAATAAATACTTGTACAGTATAAAATTATATTATATTGGCTTAATTTTTATACTAAATAAAGTGTGTTACGTTATTTTAGACCTGCATTATATTTATTTAAATCCCATATCATCAATTAAACTTTTAATAAAGTTTTCCTAATTATAATTAACATTAATTTTAAACTAAAGCTTTTTCATCTTGAATGAGATTTACGAAATAACTTATGAGAAACAATAAAAGAGGCTCAGTCTATTGCTTCTGAATAATCGATAATAAAACCACATATTGACTTACTTTTATACTAAATAAATGTAGGTATGAAGTTATTTTAAAGCTGCATTATATTTATTTTAAACCCATCACCAATTATTACTTTAAATAAAATTTTTCTTAATTATAATTACCATTAATTTTAATATTTTAAGCTAAAACGATCAGAATATTTTTTCGTCGTCTTGAATGACATGTGCGAAATAACTTATGAGAAACAATAAAAAAGGGCCTAGTCTATTGCTGCTGAATAAAAACCTGTAATTTATTTCATGCAACATGAAAATAAAATTGTATTTTTTTGAAACCCGCGGTTTCGCGTTTGCTTCACGTCAAATATTTATGTCTTGAATCATCTGTTCTAAAATGTTCCGAGAATGTCTTAAATTTTAGGATCTTGCTACAGCAGCGCCATCCTAATTCTTCCCTTTTTTTGACCACTTTTTAATGCACGGAGTTATTTCTCCTTACCTCTACACTCCATAGTTAAAACCAATAATTTTTAATCAAGGCGCTTTGAAACAATAGATTTGATTGTCCAATGTTTTTTGTGTCTTTTCCTGGCCGGTTAAAAGATGCCTAAATTGTATTTTTAATTATAACTGAATTTTTTCAAATAAAACTAGAGTGGCTCGCATTAGCGTATTTGGAAAAATAGTTTTTACAAATAATTTGTTACCACATACTAGGTATTTCGAATTGTTAAATTTTCGCTAGTAATTTCCTGTAAAACAGGAAGTGATCGAAATTAATTGAGTACGTCAATCAATCCTCATTAATGTCATATAGTAACATACCAAATCTCGTTTTTTAAGCAATCTCAAAAAAAAAATTATAGGGCTGAGCCACTTTTCAAAAACACCTGGTATAGTCTGTTCAATGACTCGGGGAGGATTTCGACAGACAAGATCCAAAAAATGACAGAAAATACACACGCAATTTGCCTGTGAATTAAACATCTCAATTAAACCGCAAGATAATGAAAAATATTTTAGAAAGAAAAATCAACTGGAGCTAATAAATTTTAACTTGAAAAAATTCAAATTTGTATATACATATATCTAAATTAGATCTTATCAAAATTTTTAATGGCCCAGTTGCCTAAAAAAACTGTATAAGTATGCAAAAAAAACATACAAGTTTAGGCAATTAAATGGAGGTTTGTGCAACAATTTATTTGTCACCCTGTATTAATCAGCCAACAAGAAAAAAAATCTTTAGTTAGGCTCTCTCATCTATAACAACTGTAGATTTTTTTGGTACCAATATTTATTACTTCATAGTGGTGAATATTTGCTAAAAATATTATCTTTTATCAACGCGAGATAAGATGTAACATAAATAATAAAAAAAATCTATTGTCAAGACTTAAATAGATGTCAACTTGGGTTTAGATCAAATTGGGGAAAAAACACAAATAATATAATCCTAGTAAATAAAATATAATTCGAGTAAACCAATTTGATATAGGCCCAAGAGATCGGTTACCTGCATGACATCGACACAGATATGTTTTTAAATAACATTAATAATTAAACAATTAAAATACAACAATCTCGGGTCGATAATCAAACGCAGGCTACCAAAGTTCGATTGCCTCATGGTCATAGCCGGGTGAATGTAATTAGACGAAAACAGATTGAACGACGTAACCGGCGATGACCACGAGGGATAGAAAATATAAAATGTATGCTAAAGAGAGTCGGGAGTGAGTCCATCGATGTGAGTCGTATTATACAGTCAGTAATTCGCGTTATCAGTCCGTTAGCAGAAGACAGCGCAGACTGAAGATGTTCCTGTAAGTACTTAGTTAACTAAACCATTAAGTCTTGGCATTCCCCAAAATTGTATTATACTGTGAACTTTATATTAAATAAATGAATATTTTATTCAATGGTTGTTTTGATTGAGAGAGAGAACCTGGTATAGCGACCCTAGCAAACAACCCCCAGCTAGGTCGCGACATATGGTGGAGGCGCCGGTCTCTTTTTTAATCAAAGCAACCTGTTTGAATGCAAATTTTTAATTACTTTCTTTAACACCACGACATGTGTTGGAGGCGCCAGTCTCTTTTTTAGTCAAAGTAGCCTTTTTTAATGCAAATTACGGGTAAACCCCACACACCTCCGCAACATGTAGTGG